CTAAATGTTTTAAAGAGCTGATTTGGTGCAGTGGTTAAGGCATCAGCTAGAAACTAGGAGACCAGGAGTTCTAGTCTCACCTTGTTCACAAAACTAGCTGGGTGATCTTGGGTCAGTTGCTTTCTCTCAGTCCTAGGAATCTGGCAATAATAAAATCATTTCTGAAAAAACTTCTGAAGAAATCTGGGTGACTCAATGCATTATCTGAAAATTGGACATGATTGAACAGAAAGTTTTAAATCAATTACTTCTAATAATGATAAGGCCTCCAGGACATGCAAGGCAGTAACCCTAATTTTCCTTATTCAATAAGAATGAGTATACAGTCTTATTCTGGACCTCTCCCATTTTATTTTCCAAGTTCTCATTAGACTGCTTAATTTCTTCCACTTTTTCATCTATTGCTTCAATATGGCCTGCCAGACCTTGAACTGTCATGATAATATCTTCTCTAATTTCTTGATTTCTTTTTTTGAATAATCTCTTTAATTTGAACTATCTCCTCAGCAACATCTCAAATTTTATCCTCAAACACCGAAGTAATTTTTTTTCTGTAACAGAGGCTTGTGTTTTAAGGGCTTCCTGCAACATTTCAAATGTTAATATTGGTGGTTCCGTTGGAACAGAGAGAGATTGCAATTTGGACGTTTGAACTGGTGAGCACCCAGCATTTTTGGGGACAACAGTCTCTATTTGTTTTGAAGTCATTTTTAGTTTCCAATTTGAGTTTATTCAGCAGCCAGAACAACAAATCCATCAAATCCAAAAATTCCCAGTCTTTAAATAATATCCTTTTTTAAAAAAATCACTGCTGTAATCTTTTTAGCCTTTAATCTTCTCCTTTTTTTTAAAGCAAAAATCTCTAATTTTGAACAGGGGCTACCAGCGCTAAACAAAACTTTCCTTTTTAACTTTCGCTTTCATGCCCCATTAAAGCTCAATCGCCATCTTGATTTCACTTTCTCCCCTTAATGAGTCAGAAGGAAGTAATACACATTTGGAGTTAAAGTTCAGTACTTGCAAATCTGCTCTCTCCTGAGTTTGCTCAGCCTGCTTCCAAATGATGTTTATTCCAAGCGTTGTTTGCAGGGGTGGTCGCGGTGTCTTCCTCTGCTTAAAGCAGAAACGTCCCGGATTCGGAGCTCTGTCGGGCTTCCAGGGAGCTCTCACCCTTCGAGCCCCAGAATTGTTTGTGGGGCTCCTTGGGGAGCTCTACCTACACCTGTCTGCTCTCTTCCTCCCCTTTTCCCAGGGAGAAAGTTTTCAAGCCGCTAGACAGCTGATTTGCGTTGTTCTGGCAGCTTTACAAGATCGCAGGGCTGGTGCTCACAAAAGGAATGTCTTCGGTGCCTGCGGTGCCACCGGAAGTCCCATGGATTACAGTAGAATCCATAACAAACCAGTTATCAACATGGGAAACCTGCAATGAAGTACTTGAGGCATTATGTCTGATTCAAATATTCTTATTCTTCCCACTTATTACTATATTACTTATTACTTTAATACACTTATTACTATAACCACATTGCTTGTATCTTTTAATTATATTATTTGTATCCTAGTACGATTTGATAGCTTATTAGTAACCTTGACTATCACTAAGTGTTGTATTTTTTTATTCTTGACATATGTATTTTATTCTCCTTATGTACATTGGGAGCATACACACTTAAGACAAATTCTTTGTGTGTCCAATCACACTTGGCCAATAAAGAATTCTATTCTATTCTATTTAACTGGAAGTATTGGGTATAGAACATGCCAGTATTCTCCCCCCACACCCCACGATGCTCCACTGTGTTTTGGAAACATGCACATGCAGCAACTAACTTTCACGTACTTGATGAACCTTTATTCTGGTGATTTCTATACTGTACTTTAGAATGCTTTTTCCAGTGATCCAGTTTCAAGTATTAAACCTGAGTTGTGATTCCACTTTTTAGAATACTTTTTCCCTTACAGTACGGATAGCTGCAAACTGTTTTTAATTTGCAAAAACTATTTCTGTTTGAACATGCTTTCAGCGCTTAGTTGTTCTTAAATGTCTCATTTGTGTGCTTTTACTTTATGCTTCCTTTTTTACACTTACATGTTTTATCTGTTGTCTGCCCAGATTTGGTCAATATCCCATTTGAGATGGGATATTAACACTGGAGAATAAAACCTGTTGAAGTGTTGTTTGTTCAGGCCTTTCCTATCTGAACGTTACGTTTTTACTGTTTCTCTTTCAATTAATATTTATATTGCTTTAATGCAAAATACTTTAGGAAGGAACTGTATGGAAAGCACTATATTGTAGATGTATAGTAAATAAATAAATGTTCTAAGTAATTCTAAGTAAACTCACAAGAAATTGGCCCAAGAGATGGGATCTCCCTTCTTCAGATTTCAGTTTTAATTTTGAAAATGAGGACACACAATCATAAGAAAACTGCTTTGTCATCATAATGCCCATATTTAATATTTTTAAACAAGTAAAGCCATTTTTTAAAAAATCATTTCATCTCATACAGTACATTTTTGTATTCCCTCACCAATGCCCATCAACAGTATTCAAAAGTTTGACATATTTCTCAGTATTTTAAGTAGCATATAACCCATGACCACAGTAAAGCAGAGTTCTCATTACACCGCTTCTTTAGTTAAAATTCAAAATCTTAAACCTTAGGTCACATTTGACGTAAGGACTGTTCCTCCACCTGCACATAGTATTTGGCAAAAGTCAGGGGAAGTTATGCAATGGCTTATCACCATGTTCATTTTCATTATTGTATGAATATTGATAAAAGCCACTGCAAAGCTGTTCCCATTGTTCCAAAGATGCTTTCCCAAAAGGCAACTTGATTTTCTTGTTTTTTTCCTTGTAAATTTTTGCTTCTCGTCCAAGAAGCTTCTTCAGTTCTTTAGTTTCTTGGATGAGAAGTGAAATATTTTCTAGGGGAGAAAAAGCAAGAAAATCCAGTTGCTTTTTTGAAAGGCATCTTTGGGACAACCATGACCTGGATGATTGGGAGCCTCCAGACAGTTGTTCCCATTATTTTGTCAAGTCAAAGGAAGAGTGGAGGCCATAGCTTTAATTTTATAGCATAATGTAAGTACTGCGCTTAAAGGTCCAGACTTCAGACAGAAGGCAATTTCAAATCTACATCTTATTTCTAAAGAAATGGAAGGGTTTTTTCTTCAGTGAATAAAATCAAGCTTAAATTGAAATTGTACAAGTTTATTTTGTGGGGTATTTTTCTAACCTACATATGTATTTGGCGAATTGATTCTTTGAAACATAAGCAATTATTCACAAAAGTTCAAGCAACACTTTCCTTCCAGAGAAAAACATTGCATGTGAGAATCTAGAATCAAGTAATTTGTCTCTATTTTTTTAAAAAAAATGAAGTGAAATGACTAACTTATCTTTGGATTTTTGATATTTGGTAACTATTTTCAAAAATAATTACCGCCAAAAAACTGTATCTTACAGTTGAGCATATTTTTTTCATGTGAACCAATTATTACAGTAAAAACATATCCCAATAGATGCTTGAATTTAACAAAAATAGGGGTTTGATGTCTATCAAAGTCACAGAAATTAATTTAAATGAAATAATGCTGCTATATAATAAGCTTGCAAACAAATATTTTTACACTTAGTGATGCATTGGCCTAAAAAATTATGTATCAGCTATGATATTGTAATTTTTCACATAAAGTTATGGAAAGTTCGAGATGTGTTAAGTACTAAATAACTACATGAAATATCAATATATTTTCAAAAGTAATATTTTGGAAAATCTCCAACTAAAATATTTTCATACTATGAACGGCATGAAGCAATTAATACATTAATTTGAAAAATGCAACAGAAAATATAGCAAATCCTTGCTTAGGAATTTACCACTGGCATTTAAAAAGTCATGAAATTAACAGAACTTCACAGACATCCAACAACCTAGATCAGTTTTGAAAAACTTTTGGAGATATAACAAAACTGACTTTAAAAGTCCCACTCATGTTACAAGACTGATTATGTAGCATTCAACTTGCATATATATGTAGCATAAATGATTCACAGAATATCCAATATGCAATGAAGGTGTAACATAGTTTTCTTGACACTTTTCATGATTCTCCATGGAAACTTTACAGAAAAACTAGCAAGGTTGATCACCAACTTTAAATGCCTACTATAGATGCATACAATATTAAAGGCAATTTTTTTTAGGAAAAAGCCTTATATTCTCAATAATGTTTAAATTTGATCTATTTATCTCTTTACTTATATTGTTTTAAGTGTCCAACATTAACAAATTCAGCATATCAACATACTAATTTGGGAGTCTCTAAACTTTTAATATACTTACTTCAACTGTACAGAACCAAATGCATTCATATGGATAATACTCTTTTAATTTCTTCATAGCTGAAAATATTGTGAAATTTGTTTATATTTACATACTTATATAATTATGAAGTTTATAAAATAATACACCCATCTCTGTTCACATTATATGTGTATGTGTGTCCATATGCACACACAAACATGTACTGAGATGAATGTGTAGTTTTATACTAAAATGAACAAATTAATATACACTGATTCTTTTATAAACTATTCATAGTGTAATCAGAAACAGTTTTTTAAAACTTCCTCATATAGCAAGGTATCTACTTAAGGATGAGTTGGATCAATGTAGTCTTGCTTCATTTATTCAAAGTGCTGCTTTCCATTTGCAGCCACTGGGTATTCTTCTTTAGGATAATTAAATGATCTTTTCTGTAAAGACAAAGAAGTCAGCATCTGTAATATTTAGTGTAATTTCTTCAGCTTTTGGGGAAGTGGGATTGTTTTGGATAATTAAGAAGAAATCTGTGGCCATTTTGTCAGTGGTGAAATAAGAATCAACCTGACGCATTTACTGCAATAATCATTTCACTATTATACAGAACCTTCACAGAAGCATATACAAATATAAACAAACATTTCAGCACAAAATAAAAACAATTAATTTTAGGTAAATCAAGTATATATGTAGGAGGTAAAAGCCTATGGATGAACTTTAAAGGCTAGAAGTTCTTCAGAGTGCAAGTTATTTAAGGAACGCAGGTCAGGCAGTTTCAAAAGTAGTTTTGTAAATATAGAGGCTTCATTTGGATGATTTTTTGTGATCAAAGTCCTGAGTGCACGGATCAATGTTTCTTGCAGTGCTTCCACAGAATTGACATTCTCTATTCCTGATCGTTCTAAATAAAAGATAAACAATGGGAGGGAGACAGTTATTGGTTTGCAACTTATATTGTTAAACACACTATATAAAGTTCTGCAAAGTACTCAGGTATTCTGCAAAGTACTCAGGTATTCATCAAAGCATTTAAATTAATAAATAATATTCAAACAAGGTAAATCATAATCACTACAGGTCAAGGCCAATATAAATTAACATGTTCATTTTAAGTAAGTATCAATTTGACAAGCTACGTCCTTAATTTATAATGAAGGATGGAGGGGCACCCTGAGGTAGGCAAATACATTCTGCATAGATAATGACAACTGAACTTGTGATCCAATAGCTTGGATATATAGAGGAATCTTTACTTCTCTTTTTGAGCAGAGTAACAAGTACACACATATTAGAACATCTCAGAGATCAGAGTCACAGTAAAGTAACAAAAAGGTTCTGATAATATTGTATTGAGGAAAAGAACAATTTTGAGTCAATAGAGTGTACAGTTAACAGGTATATTTGGGATACTAGGCAAGGATCCTAACATAATCAGGAATGTAAGATGAACCGGATCTTAACAAATTAGGATTTTCTAGAGTGTTTATTTGAGTGAGTGTGACTTCAGAATACTCTTCCTTGCCCCCCAGAAGAGTAAGAGAGTACATGTTTGGCTGTCCACTCCCGTCCTGTATTATCTTATGATTTATTCCAAATGAAAAATTATGTTTGTTGTGTGACAAAGAATTCATGGTAAGTGGACTGAGAAAATATATTTTTGCATCTACCAAGGACATTAATCATTTTACTTGTTGTTGCACTTCAGTAACTAAAATTAATTATCATAGATCAGACTGCATGACAATTCAAAATTACATTTCCTAGTGTAATATTCCTATTCCAATATGGATCAGAACATGCAACATTATAGTTTACACACACACACACACACACAGAGAGAGAGAGAGAGAGAGAGAGAGAGAGAGAGAGAGATTTTATTTTAAAACTCAATAGCATATTGTCTTTAGAAATTCACAAGAAAAAGAATACTGAACTAAAAGTGAACTGCAAAAAATCCCTCCCCCCAAATCTTACATATGTAAAAACAGCTGAAAAATAACAACACATTCCTAATAAAGTAGGAAATATTGCATCATTACTGAAAAAATGGCAGCATTTGGCTAAGCTCCAAAATAGTCCCAAATGTAGCTACTGTTGAAAAAAAAAATCTGGTTCTCATTCCTTTTTATGCAAACCAACTATATAAAAGGAAGAGGAACAGAACCATTAGTGAGGCACCTCCAGAAGATATAAAATACTGTAAGATAAATTTCAAATATAATCTTATTTGTTAAACAATACGAAAAAACCCAGGGGAGGGGGAGAAGGGGAGTCCAACCCCAAACCAGATTTCATATATTCTGAAAAGACAAAATATATTTTATTTTTTGCTATATATAAAGGTTCATTTTGGTTTCTTACCAGCAGATACAAGGACCACCGCTGTAAACAAACTCATTTCTTCATCACTAAGGTTGAGTGCATTTAGCTTCTCACTAAACTCAAACATGGAGTTCAGCAGATCACCAGCTCCCATGGTACGTAGATCATCCAAACTGTACTTCTTTCCACTAAGAAAAGTGACAGTACGATCTTTTGCATCAAATAGAGATGCAAACCGTACCATTAGTACCTGGTCAAAAGAAAATTTAGGGAGAAAAGCTCGCATGTAAATCTATACTCAGTTCATATAGAATCTTTAAAGTTTGACAGCTCATAAAATTGAAGATACAAGTCTTCTCTGAGCCAAGGTCAATTCTTGGTGACTTGTCTTGAAACTAAAGGGAAGTGATCTAATATATTGCCTTCTGGGATTTTACTTCCCAGATCTTCAATCTCTTCCATCCAACCATCATCCTGCTCAAAAGTGTGTTTTGTTTGAGTCTAAACACAATGAAATAGTGAGGTATATCCTGAATATTTAATTCTAAAATAGCCCCACACAAAATGATTACTATCCTATATAATTTATATTTTCCATTTGTTTGTTTAAAAAGGCTTTCTTACAATTTACTAAAGATATTATTAATTACAGGCTTTTAAAAAAATTCTCAGCAACTATTTATATAATTTAGAAAGGATAGGTTAGGTTATATGCCAAAAAAAAAAAATAGTTAAGAGATATAGAGATATTCTCACTTGGCTTTGATATTGGCATTTTATTTATTTATCAAAGTTATATGGCTGTCCATCTCACAAAAATGACTCTTATACTGAGGATCTAAAATGGTTTTAAATTAAAATGCAACATCTTCTAAAATTTTATTTTATTACTGTTGAAGTGAGAGGCATTCCACAGTGAGAGGCATTCCACAGGGGGCTATCAAAAACATTGGTGTAAGCAGACTGACCTCCACTGCATACAGCCTTGAAGGAGATGCAGAATGTTATTTAGCACCAATATTTAAAACTTTTTTTAAGCAACAGAGGTCAAAAGTAATATCTTCCCTCAGAAAAGGAAAGATGAGACAAGACAAGAGGATAATTGGCATTTCTTAAATACAAGTTTTCTCATGTTCACTGTGGCTCTTTCCAAAAGCCAAGACTGAATACAATCAGAAAGCATTGGATTTCAATTGTGGACAGAAGTATGGGGTCCCTTTAGGCCAGAGGTGGGGAACTATTCCCCTTCATGACTTGTGGACTACAACTCCCAGAATTGCTGAGCCATGTTGGCTCAGCATGGTTGGCTCAGGAATTCTGGGAGTTGAAGTCCACAAGTCATAAAAGGGCCACTCCTGCTTTAGACAATAGATACTACTAGCCAGGGAAACAGACTTAGCAGATGCCACACAATTTGGATACAGCAAAAAAGATGAGTGCAAAACTGAGGAACCTACTTTTCAAAATGAGTGAGAAGACAGGATGAAATTTCCAAGTAAACTATGCAATCTATAATTACATAAAGAGGCCATTTTTGCCACATTTCCCCAACTACAGCAGTTACACGCCAAATGTATCAAAATAACTGCACTCATTTTATCAATTTTAATTGATAGAAATAAAAAGAAATAAAAAGGAAATATTCACCTCAAAGGTTCCAGCCTTCAGAAGGTTTACTTGGTCATGTTGTGAAAGATCTCGGAAACCTGGAACACGCTTGGCAAATTCCACCACTTCCTTTACTGCAGGGGTAAAGCTCATGGAAAATTCTTCCCAGACTTCCTGACCAGACTTATCTGGATCCACAAAAGGAGTCTTGTTCATTGGGCAAACCTGGATATTTACACATATATGGAATCAAAATGCTATTCTGAACCCTTTTTTTTTTCAAAAACTATGAAACTGGCAATGTCTTCAAATATTACACAATTATTCATAATTAAAAGAGTTCATAATTAAAAATGGTAGCGTATGTTCCAAAAAATATTAGAATCTATTTAAAATTAAGAGTTACTTCTTGTCAACAACATAATAAAACCTTTCTTAGAAAAGAAAACTGAGTATAAGCATCTAGTTTAAAGTCCATTTCCCACAATATTTTATACTTGTAAACTTACATTCACAGAGCATCTTTGCATTACAATTTTGGAATGGCTGTGATAATTTTATTCCCATCTAGTGCAATTGGTAGGCAATTACACTGGCTATCTAGAAAAAAACTATATGACCTTGACTGTAAGTGCATTACTGTAATCTTAATTTTTTTCCACTTTACTTTAAGGCTTAAAAAAATTGTTAAGGCTTAAAATGAATTGCTTACATGCACATTTCTTCTCATAATTTCTATACTATTTATAAAATATAGCAAAAAATAGTGTGAAAGAATCACAGAGAATGGACTTTCAGCTTCAAGTGAAAATACTATGGGAGTGATCACTATTCAGTTGGTTTGTTTAACTGATGCACATTTACACAGAAAGTCACACTGTAATTAATTAGTTAATATTTGTCCCCCCTTCCAATTGAATTCATACATGTATTTGTTTTAAAAAACACATATGGAGGATAGAATCTGTTCACCCTAAAGTGACTTTACAGCTGGAAATTTTCTTCAGCTGTGTTAATATTCCAACTACAGGGAGTCCTCAAATTACAACTGACCACTTAGCAACTGTTTGGATTTATGACGAATCCAGAAAAAGGATTGAAATTCCAACAATACGTCCCCCTCCATTTACATGATCACGTTTTGGACATCTAGCAACTGGCCTGCAGTTATGGGTGTTTGCAGCATCCCACAGTCACTTTTTTTTTTTTTTTTTTGCCAAAATGGGTGTTTACTTCCAGTTTCCAGCAAAAAAAACAGATTGGCTAAAATTGATTGGCTTAACGATTATGGAGTTCACATAATAACCACTGGAGCTGGCTTCAGAGAGAGGGGAAGGGGAAGAACTGCATTTCCTTTTTAAGGCTCTGCAAAAGAATACAGCCTCTCAAAGCCCTGATTCAAAAAACAAAAGTTTAGCATTTTTCTTTTCTTTTCTGCAAACTCTTCTCTTGGCATGATTTCTTTCATTTCAATGGAAATGGCTTTTTCCATTGAAGCCAATGTCCTCTAAAAATTGTGCTTGATGGTTTTATTCCATGAAACTCAACCTGAAACATCTTATAACTATCAGGCTTAGGAACCACATTCAGAGAATAGTTTTAGAAAAATGAGCGCAGTTCTTTTATTCTCTCTGAAGCCAGCAGCAATGCCTCAATCCTGTTCAGGAGCATGGGAAAACGGGCATTTTAAGACACTAGAGCCGAGGGCTGGTTTTAGCCATTTTCTCTGTCTTCCTCTTCTTAAAGGGTCAGGCTGGTAGGAAAAAGAAAATGGCATATGTCGGTTGTCACGGGGCAGAGCAAACCAAGTCAAGAGTGCTGGGCTGAGGTTTTCCAGATGTTCAGGGCTTTGAGAAGGTGACTGCTTCACATCCTTGGAGTCTCCCAGGCATTGAGAGCTTTCCTTTCCTTTCTCTTTGGAAAAGATCTTCCAAACTCTCATCCCCTTCTTTAAACAATGGAAGGACAGGATCAAAGCTTCTTTGAGGGGGCGGCACACACACACACAAACATGTGCCTTCCTTTGGAGATTGCAAGGAGGAATATTTGAGGTTTGTGTATGTGAATGTATCTTCTGCATCTCCTTCCATAAAGCTCTTCCTGCCCCATATAGACTCTGGAAGATCGTTATCTTTCTTTTGAACTCGTAGCCCCTTGGATAGTGAGGTAAAGTTCCTGGCTACTGCAGATAGGTAGGATCTGGGTCCTGAGTAGTGCAGATGGGAGGCTAAATAGTTGGGAGAAAAGGCAAAGTCTGTGGCAACTGCTGCTACAGTAGGGAAAGACACCAGTGGGTGGGAAGCCACTTGCAGGGGTGATTAGGGGACCGTTTCATTATGGCTGCTTGGAAAATGATGTCTGCTTCTATGGTGAAGTCAAGTGGTCTAAGGACACCAAGGAGTTAGTGGTGCAATCAGTGGCAGATGTGGGGTGGGAAGTAGGCACAAGGCCTGATGCGAAGAGTGGAGGGGGTCAACACTGCAGTGCCCCTATGGTCAGTCATAAAGGCAAATGATTGTAGGAGATGTTGTAACTTCAAACGATTGCTAAGTGACTGGTCATATCTAGAGGATTACCTGTATACTCTACTGCATTATTGTTCCCAGGACTATGTGACTAATTTAAGTTTATGATGACTGAAGTATTTAATAGTTGTAATACCAGATGCATTCTGCCTCCAGTGCTGCAGGAATACGCATTCAGAGATTCAATGGAAGAAAAGCCATTTTCGAGCATTTTATTATAGCCTTTTGTGGTAAAGTCATTGGTGAAGTTCATAGAATGGAAGCAAAGATTATACCCACTTGGATAGGGTATATTGTTTTGCCCTTTATACTGTTCATTGAAATGTTTAACATTTCCATTTTGAAGCACATTGCTTATGCTACCATGATCAGCTTCACCATCAGAATTGTACTGCTCCAAGTATTTAAGATTTGTTTCCCCATTTGGAGGCTGCAAAACAGTGGTACGGTCTTCTGATTGTTCCTGATTGTACATAAATGTATCTTTGTGGGCACTAGTCACCATGCCAATCACTTCTTCCTTGGCAATGTCAGAAGGCAGAGGAAAAGCAGGATATAGTGAAGGAGGAAGGGGAGAAGTGGGCCTTTTGGCAGTTACTTCTTCTTGCTTTAGTTTGGAGTTCAGCTGTTCCTGAGGCACTAAGAGCAATGCTTCCTGGCTATCTTTTAATGCTTCACTGGGCAAGTGATCACTGAACTGCGTATTCATCATAGTTTTCATGGCACTTTGCATTTCAATTATCATCCTCTGTTTCTCTCGTTTAGGAATTCGGCCAAATCGAACAGCTATAAGGAAGACAGAGAGAGACTTCAGTTTTACATTATATCAAATTTTAATAAGAATGCCATTGCATTCTTCCTTAAAAAATCACCCCATTGATTAAACACAGAATGTATTTGACAGTAAAACTGTTAACAAGGACCAAAAGACTATCCTACTAGTTCTGGGACATTTTTCTCAAATGTGAGATAGAAGAGAATTCATACACAGCCCAGCAGTGTTTTCAATTGTAATGAAGAGAATGAGGTAAGTTTTTAAAATTCTTTTTTCCTCAAAAAGCAAATTGCGCATTTATGCTGCTTCTGGACAGAAAAGGTTATTGGAAAGGATGCTGACTTTTATAAGTATCCTGTCTTTCCTTTTCCTATTATTTTTTGTACTTCATTGTCTTGTACTGTTTTGTACTTTATTGTAATTTATTTCCTTTTCTTAATATAGCTTAGGAGTTGTCCAGAAAGCTGTGTTATTAATAAAGCATTGAAATAACTTATAAAATAAGAATAAGCAATTTTTCTTCTCAAAAATGCAGGCAGGAATGCAAGCATTATTTTCATAATCAAGGAAAACAGAACAGAGAGACTCAACTTGGAATATACAACTTGCAATGAAAATAGCGAAAACTTAGTAACCAGGACTACTCACAGTTTGGGAAGTATTGTGGTTGTATTTACTAAAATTCTAAAAATAACCAAAATGGATCCAAAGGTGGCAGACTGCCTGTACTTGAGATACTTTGGCTTGAGAAAAATGAAAACTAGTTTGTCTGCAATGATGATATCCAAAAAAGGCAGACATGGGCAAAGTAAGATTAGAAGCAGTATCAGACTAACTATAAGATTGTAAATATATTTGCTCTGTAATTATTTTTTTAGTTCCTTAATTTGCTGGTCTTGCACAACACATTTGTTGTTTGTTTAGAGTAGTGTATCCTTTGCAAATTCAATTTATTAAGTTACCAGGACATGATTAATTAATTAATGGTATGAAACTTCCCATTTACTAGATCATTCTTCTAAATCAGTATTCCTCAAACTTGGCAACTTTAAGATGTATAAACTTCAAGTCCCAAAATTGGCTAGCTAGCAAATTCTGGGAGCTGAAGTTCACATATCTTAAAGTAACCATAATTGAACAACCTTGCTCAAAAAAAAAAAAAAAAAAAGAGAGAGAGAGAGAGAGAGAGAAAGAAAGAGAGAGAGAGAGATCTAGGATAGCCAAACTAATTTATGGGATATCCCAGGCTAATTTTCTTATGGCTCAGCCTAAACTGGAACTAAATATTTCAGGAATAACATCTAATAAAGTTAGCCAAAGTACTAGTCAGTTTGAATTTTCTTCCTTGAAAATTATCCTCTTAGAAAACCCTGTTTGGAAATTTTCATTGTTTCCAGTGATTGATAAATAGCAAAGTCAAGACCCTGTGATAGTCTAAAAGAGTCTCTTATATTTTCCCTCAATGATTAAGATCCCTTATACCCAGGGCCGGATTTAGATGAAAAGAGGCCCTAGGCTATTCCACTTATGAGGCCCTTTCACCAGTGGTGGGATTCAATTTTTTTAACAACAGGTTCTGTGGGCGTGGCTTAGTTGGGGGTGTGGCTTGGCAATCATGTGACTGGGTGGGCGTGGCTAGCTGGTCACGTGACTGTGTAGGCGTGGGGAGCTCGTCATGTGACCGGGTGGGCGTGGCTATGTGCATAGACTTTTTTCAGAGGGCTGAAAAAAGTCATTTCTGACTGGGCCTTGCACTTTTGACCGGTCCTCACACTTATGACCATCCTCACATTTATGCCCGTGCAGCTTTCTTAACAACCATGTCACTCATTTCACAACTGCTTCTCTTCACCATGGTGACAAGATAGGGCAAAAACGTAAAATGTGAGGACAGTCGTAAGTTCGAGGACTGGTCAAAAGTGCGAGGACCAGTCAAAAATAACTTTTTCAGCCCTCTAAGTAGTCCATATGCACAAAAGGACTACCCAGAGGGCTGAAAAAGTTATTTCTGACAGGTCCTTGCACTTTTGACCGGTCTTCGCACTTATGACTGGTCATCATTTATGCCCATTGTAGCATTCTTAACAACCGTGTCACTCATTTCACAACTGCTTCTCTTCACCATGGTGACAAGATAGGGCAAAAACATAAAATGTGAGGACAGTCGTAAGTTCGAGGACTGGTCAAAAGTGCGAGGACCAGTCAGAAATAACTTTTTCAGCCCTCTGAGTAGTCCATATGCATAAAAGGATACAGCAATAGAGAGGGATGAAGGAAGGGAAATTAGAGTAGGAGGGAGGGTAAGAGAGGGAGGAAGAGAGGAGGAGAAGGAGAAAGGAAGAGGAAGTAGGGAGGAGAAGAAGAGGGGGAGGAAAAGAAAGTAAGAAGGAAAGAAAAGAGAGAGGCGGTAGGTTTGAGGAGAAAGATTGCTGTACAATAAAAAAGATGAAAGGGAAGAAAGCCAACCCCAAACAAATATAAAGATATTAAGATAAAGAATGAATTGTTAAACTTTAAAGAATAAAAGAGAACAAATATGAATAAATAACAATAATTAGAAACACACATACAAACATACAATGTATTTTCTTTGAACAGAGTATTTGGCCGGTTCACAAATTTAAACAGTTTAGTCATTTCAATTAAATTTACAATTTCTATATTTCCTTTTTGCCATATTTATTCCACATCTATTTTTGTAAAAAACCAGTATTACCCTTCATCCTCATCTCTAATCTTAATCAAATTCAATTTTTCCCTTCTATTCTATATTATACCCCTTCCCATTGTCATCTATTTTTATATCCATCCTCACATTGGTTAATTATGTAATATTAGTTGTTTAATATAAATTCAACATTTTAATATAAATCAATTAGTTATATAACTACCTTTTTTGTAAATTAATCAATATGAACATGAATATTCCAATTATTTCCATGCAATCCAATTTCTTACAAATCCATTAATTATATTTACCAATAATAAACCAAATAATTTCCCCCATATATTCCTCCAAACCGCAACTTAACCATTTCTGCTTTCAGAAATATACAATTCATTGTATCTCAATTATTACAATTCCCTAGTTAAATAGAGCTTTTTTTCTTTTCCTCTTTTTCCCTAAATTTCTCATTGTTTGCACCTACCTTTTTTGGTGAGGAAAAAGAAAAGAATTCTGCCTGCCTAATTTTCTAACCTTGCAGCAACAGCAAAGCATTTTCAGTTTTGTTTCTCAGCATAGCTAGGGGGAAAAAATCAGCACTCTTTGCAAGGAAGCAGAAGAGCCCTGAGCAAAACAGCTGAGACAAATCAGCTGAGAGCCGGGAGGCCAATTAGCCTATGCTGAAGCTCCCTGGGCCAATAAAATTACAAAAAAAAACACCGAACCCTTTGTTAAATTGCTGGCTCCCCCGCCCCTCGCCCACCACTATTTATTGGCAATAAATAGTGGTGCGGAGGGGCGGGGCAAGCCAGCAATTTAACAAAGGGTTCGGCTGCACCACTGGCTCTAGGGGGGCCCTTTGAAGCCCCGCAGCAAGAATTTGAAGGTTTTTTTTCCTCTAGCCATCGGAGGCAGCAATAGATTGGGAGTGGGCGGGGTAAGCGAACGGCCGGCGATCCAACAGAGCAGCGTGAGGGTGAGTGAAGGCGTGGATGCTGCTTTCTCCATCCTGCTCTCTTGCGTCCAGAGCCAGTGGGGAACCACATGGCAGCCCACGTGGATCCCAGGCAGCGGAACTCAGGCTAGGGAAGGGCAATTGTGGCTCTTTTACAACCTGTGGCCTTCAACTCTCAGAATTCCTGAGACAGCTTGGTTGTCTCAGGAATTCTGGAAGTTGAAGTCCACAGGTTGTAAAAGAGCCACAATTGCCCACCCCTGGCTACAGTAGGCTGGCGCCGCGCGGGTGGGAGGCAAGGGGCGGGCGAGCCAGTAATTTAACAAAGGGTTTGGCCGAACCCCCTAGAATCCCCAGAATCCCACCACTGTGTAGGCCCCTCTTGATCTTGAGGCCCTAGGCTGAAGCCTAGTTAACCTATAGGAAAATCTGGCCCTGCTTATACCTTTTCTGATAAATTAACTACGTAAAGACTGTAAATATTCATAACTTTTATTTGCTCTTTTCTCTAATCAATATACCATATTGAAATTTCTTAGCCTTTTCACATAGCATTGGAAGTGGCTTTATTGTACACCATACCACATTAAAATATATAAATAAGATGAGTTATGTCTGGAGGTGCAACGCTTAGTCCTAGATTTATGAGTTGGACAGACTTTTTTCATTATTTTATATCATACAAGTGGATTGTTACATATCTAACATGTAAACATGTAAAGGGTCCTGACAAGCCATTCTGCCTTCTACAGTTGGAGATGTAAACATCCTCCTCACAAACATGGTTTAGAGCACTTTGCGAATAGGGCCTTGTTACACTTATTCCCTCCATCGTGGATACCACTTATGCTGTAAATATAAGCCCATTGCTTGTACAGGTAGTCCTCGACTATAACCACAATTGAGGCCAAAATTTCTGTTGATAAGCAAGACAGTTGTCAAGTGAGTTTTGCCCCATTTTACAACCTTTCTTGCCACAGTTGCTAGGTGAATCATAGCAGTTGTTAAGTCACATAGTTGTAAAGTGAATTTGGTTTCCCCACTGACTTTGCTTGTCAGAATTTCACAAAAGGTGATCCTGCAATGCTGTAACTATTGTAAATCTGAATCAGTTGCCAGGCATCTGAATTTTGATTATGTGACCATATGGACATCGTAATGGTCATAAGTGAAAAATGGTCATGTGACTTTTTTCACTGTCATTGTAACTTTGAACAGTCATTAAACAAACTGTTGTAAATAAGAGGACTATCTGTATTCACAAATGCTCACTGGGATTACAAGCTCTTGTAGGAACATATTTCATGTTCCAGCATCATTTCCACATTTGTGACTTTACGGTTACAGTGCGATTGGAAGCAGAGTACAATGTTAACCTCTACTTTATCACTATTTTTATAAAACTTTCATTTGAATTAAACAAAACATACAATAATTCACCTTTTGAAAATCACTGCTCAATATAGAAACATACCATCTCTTGACATTCCTATTGACAAGCATTTTTTGAATCGGCACTGCTGACACCTGTTTCTATTCATTCTCATTATAGAGCAGTTGTTATTCTTCAGGCACTTCTTATATTGGATATTTTGCTGAATACTTCTTCTAAAGAAACCCTGAAAAAATAAGCAATTGTTTTAGAGTTTTGGTTATTTTTGTGAACAAGCTTCCAATTATATCATATGAATACAATCTTGCATGTTTAATCTTCAAAACAAGATTTATGAAATTTTGTTGTGATGAAAACGATGGAATAAAGCATACACAAAATATTCTTCTTAAACTTTAAAGAATATTCAGCTTTGCTGAAGGTACTTATTTAGTAGAAAATGAAAATATTTTATATTTGGCAATTTTGCAAATAAAACATACACTATATTTCAGACAGTCAGTAACAATTATACTCATTCCTAAATTTTTATCTATTCATTGCTACCTTAAGCCATTTATATTAGAAAAATTACCTTGCAGCCTTCACAAGCATGGACCCCATAGTGAAATCCTGAAGCAACATCTCCACAGACTTTACACAGCAAGACCATGCCATTAAATTCTAAAAATGCAACAGTATGAAAGCTCAGTAGTAACATGGAAAATGAAGCAGATAGATTTATTGTTTTGTAATGTAATGTAATATAATTCTGTATAGCTGCCTTCTCAGATCATAATTATACATGTCTCAAAAAAACCATAAAATATTTTAGTAAAGGAGTCAGCAAAAGATTAAGCAGTATAGTTTTTAAATTTGATGTTGTGTCACTCCAGGAAAAAAAGCACTCTAAGAAATCTGTGCAGAGTCCCTTTGAAATAAATCCCATTCCTCATTTCACTGAAATTGTTGATGAGTTTGAACTCAAGGCCAAACGTGCCCTCCAAACTGCATCCAAAATTTTAAGGTGTAAATGTGTCTTGTTGTTATAACTGTGTTAATTATTAACTAATACTCAGTGAATAAAAACTTGTTTAGGACAAATAAAAACTGATACATCTGCTCTATGTAACTGAAATGTTACTCCGTATCATACTATTGTGAATACAATAATAGCACGGATGTATTTGAATGCCATCTGAAAATTTCTTTTGTTCAGAAACAAGGCAATAGGTTTATCAAATAAATACAAATGTTTCTGCAAATGATGGGTTGAAACAAAAAAAAATGAAAATGCTATCTGATGCTGACTTATGAATTGATGAAATATCATTACTTATTAACATGTTGCAAGCAGGTTCCAAGTAACAAAGGTTTAGGGAATCAACAATTCCACTTTTGATCATGGAATTTAATTATTTAGGTAATAAACCAGCTAAAGTTGTTCTCAGAGATTGAATTATTAGGAACCCTGTAAAAAGTAATAAATTAATAAGTTATTATTAAAGTTGGCAAAACTTAAATAATCATAAAAACAGAAATGTTCATTTAAATGATTTTTTTTTTTACAATGGGTATTCAGGTACTCTTCAGATAGGAAAATTCTGTGCTTTCGCTAATACTCCTGACAGCACTAATAATGAACTGGTTTTAGGATTTGCAGCTAAATAAATATTTTAACTAAATAAATAATAAAATATAATACACATTTTTAACATTCCAGAAGTGGAAACCAAATAGTCATAACAATATTGTACTGAAGTATCATTGTTTGAGTTTTGCGGCATGTTCCCAGTAGTGTACAGGTAGTCCTGCCTTACCAACCACAACTGGACTGGCAACAACGCCAAATGAAAAACCATATGATAGCACCGGACTTATACCACTTCTGCTTGCATCATTAAGTCAATTACTTAATTAAGTGAATCAATTAAGTGCTGTCAAGTGACACTTCACATGATCATGACTTGCAATTTTACTTCCATATTTTCTATTAATTCTGCTTATTGGAAACCGATTGTGAACCTTTCAAATGGCAATCACATGACTGCAAGAGCTACAATGGTCATAAATCTGTGGCAGATGCAAAATGCCTGAATGGTGATCATGTGACCACAGACTGATGTGATGGGATAAATTGCAAAGCTTTTTTTCAACTCTTAATTTCAAATGGTCCCCATACAAGGCAATATGTAAATGAGAAATAACTGTATCTAATAAAAGCCTTATTATGGTGGTAGCCAGTGGGAGCAAATGTGCACTTCAAGAACAAAACTAGAATTTGAACTCTAAGAAGTTCCAGATTCAAAGGCTGGTGTCTCCAAGCTAAGAAGTACAGAAATTAAGCCTAGGAGTCACCAGTTACCGAGAGCTTAAGAATCTGCAGACAAGCAAATAAGATATTAGAAAAATATAATCAGGTCTGTTAGAAAACATACTTTTGTTTTCCTAACTTGTTAAGTCATACCAGCAAAAAAACAAACAAAAAAAAAAACACCCTTTGTGACTGATAGAACTTTTGAGTTATTTCAAAATGTATTTTCAGTATTTTTATATTTTCAAATAGTCTCATGTTTTGTGCACATTCAGTAAATGATTCAGAAGAAATGCTTTGGATTTTGTGCAAGTACAGTGCTCTTCTGCTAAACAGTTCCTTGTTTTCAAGCTTCTGTACAATGCTACTAGTTTTAAAGGTAACATTAACCATAATAAATGCTTTTTATGGCAGTGTAAACCTAATAGAGGTTTTGTGTTTATATGAGATCACAATCGTAACATATCTTCAAAGAGCCTTGGTACTACAGGGGTTTAAGGCACCCTGTTATTAAGCTTATTAAGACCAGCTGCCTGCAATTACTGCAGGGTTCGAATCTCGCCAAGGCTCAAGGTTGACTCAGCCTTCCATCCTTTCTAAGGTAGGTGAAATGAGGACCCAGTTTGTGGGGGCAATAAGCTGACTTTGTATAAATATACAAAAGGATGAAGGCTATTGCTGAGCACATTGTAAGCCGCCCTGAGTTTTCGGAGAAGGGCGGCATATAAATCAAATTAAAAAAAAAAAAAAGTATGCATAATCTTGTTAAATGGATAAACTTATTTTATTTACTTTGATTCAGAAATGAAAGCACCCCTTTTCTCAATTTGAACTTGTATTTTTTCAATAGCAAATCTGGGAATTCCAAGATCTCAATTCTAAAATATTTTTTTAATGCATTTTAAATAGGGATTTAATTGTGGACCATGGGACAACATAGTCTGTTGGCCCCAATCTGACTATGAAACAGTAAGTAATATGCCAGTATGGTAGTTTTGAGCATCAGAACTCCAATGTAACTAAAATAATGGAAGTCAGAGTTTAAGTGATGAAGATTTAATACTCCAGGCTACAAGCCACTGCTGCCAAGCTTCAGATAAATGTATCTTGTACCTAGATACAAAATAGATAATCTAAGGATCAATTAACATGTCACAAGTTCCTCCTTTTGTTAGTCTCATTTATTATTACAATAGTAAATATGGATATGTCTAACAATGGTTCATCCAAAGAGCACCTGGAAGCCAGGATATAGACAGCATTTGTAAAGCTGTCAATTATCCAACAAGTGAGTACCACTTTAACTGTAACAGCTAACCATGGGAAGAAAAAATGAAAATTTGAGTTATAGAAAAAAATGAAAGGCGCTGAGAAACACGTCATCAGAAATGAGTGTTTTGTAGTAAGACTAATAGCACTTACTTGCAATTCCATTATGACTTTTTGCTACTGAGGCACCGCTCAATTGATTTCCCTTATTGTGATTCTCAAACTGGTCACTATTTGGTCTTCCATCAGAGTGCTTTTTACTCTTGCTACTGCAGCTCCTCTCAGAGGAGGAACTGTTTGGTGATGAACTGACTGGAGAAGAGGAGGACTGAAAACTGTTGTCTGAGCCTTCACTGTGACAGGAAGCAGGGCTAGATGCAGAGCTTGAAGAGCTGATATAAGCAATTACACTTCCTGGAAAAGAACACAAGAATACAACCATTATCTGTAGTCAGAGGTCAGCTCCCTCCAACCTTCTTATAACATTATTCGAAATGCCTTTTGATTTTCAGAAAACAGTATCTACTTCATCATCTGAAGCCCAAAATTCAAATTTAATTGTATCACCCTAACCAAGAGAATCTGCTCAGAGAAAAACAAATGAAGTTTAAGTTGCTTTTGTTTTTGAAGACACGAGAAAATAGTCAGTGGCGGATCCAAAATATTGCAATTTGATTTTCATACCTATTAGACAGCAAGTATGGTAAGGCATTAAGACACAAATAAACTTTATAGATTTACAGTATAGCTTTCAGCAGCAATGAACATAAAAAAAAATAGACTAGAGAATCAGTTTGCAAGTTTTCCAAGTAATACAATGACTAAAGGACCCTCTGGAAGGGTAACTCCTAGAATGTATTTAAAAAATTTATATGTTGAATGATACAAATTTACAACAGTCCAAATATTGCACATGGCCTTGGTAGAAATAAGAAATTACTTTGGAAGGAGGTGAAAAAGGCCAAAGGATCCTCCAGCAGAGTGAATGAAATTTTTTTTAAAAAGTAATTAAAATGATATGAGATGAAATTGAATCAAGGAATGCTAAAAGGAATATTTTAGATATTTATATGGGAAAGACAGTGACATGTCTAAGAGTGATATTGAAACAAATGCTGTTGTGTTCAAGAAAAAAATGAAATGCAAGTTACCAATGTGACTGTTTAACATGGGTATTAAGATTGCATCTATAGGTGATTGATTAGATGTATGATATTACTATTTCCTTATTTTAAAAAAAGGATTTAGCAGGCATACAAAAACTATAGGATAATTACATTAAGTATGCCCTGGAAATGGGCCAAATTTTAATTGAAACAGCTATTACAGTCCATAATGAGAAGAATTTGGAAAGTGCAATCTAACAATTTACATTAATAGCATTTTGCAGGAAAAATACAGATTAGTATTCTCTCTTAGATGTGACCCAATATTAAGTAACTTTCAACAATTTGTGTGCTCTCTAGTAGTCAGCATAAAATAGGAAATAAGGAAGACATGGATTTAAGTCCATAGACACAATTGTGGGTAATTTTTTTTAAAAGCACTCCATAATCAGTGGTAGGATTCTACCAGTTCAAATCGGTTCCGGAGAACTGTTTGCTCTGATTTTCAGCCGTGAGCGAACCAGTTCTCTCTTTCTTTGAAGTGGGCCTGCCTACCTGCCCCTGTGTTATACTTACCTATATTTCTGCAAATTGGTTGTTAAACCGGTAGGATCCCACCACTGTCAATAATGATACAATTATTACATAGTGACTACCATTAAACTACAATTTATCATGTAGATTGGGTCCAATTGAGTTTTCATGTATCACATTAACTTGTCTCTGGTGATCTATGAAGTATCTATACTCTTTATGAAATTACTGAGCTCAGACTTTAATAGCACCAAACAATGGCATTATTATGAAAAGCATTAGGAAGGAAAAAATAAATACCATATATATCAAATGTCTTAATTTTATTGCATTACAAATAAAATAGAGAAATGGAGCTGTACAATGGAATAATGCAATGTGTCAGGTAGTGTTATCTTAAAACAGTAAGAACAATTTTTTCCCGGAAAACATTAAATATAGTTTAACTATAAGTAAGAATCAAGAATTAAATATAAGTGATACTATAAATGTTTTTGCACTTTTAGTCTTACAACAGTTATTTACGTATAAAAGTAAAATAAAAAATAATAATAATTCCAGAGCACTTGGAGAGGTTTAGTAAGATGGAATCAAGAATAAGACCCCAGCTCAATAAGTTTCCCACTGATACTCTGATATTTCAAGTAGTCTTCACAAAAGATCCTCAGAGGGAGAATCATTTCAAATAATAACATTAATAAGAACCATACACAAAAGATGATTTCTAAATTTGCAGAACAGAGTCCTAACCTGTATGTTTATCCAGATGTGTGCTGATTTCATACATAATCCCATTATTTGCAGTGAATGGAAGAGAATCAGACTACAATAAAAATTACATCTGAATAACAGTATTTGAGAATGGAATTACAAAACTGGGGAATGATAATATGGTACATTGGTGATGCATCTATCATTAGTGTTTTGTGCCAAGCAATATACATTTTTAAAGTGGGATATTATTTCCAGTCCATTGAAAAAAAGAAAAACTCTATCAAGGATACTCTATCAAATAGTAAATGTGCATTCTATTTTACAAAAACAAGTTTTTTATTTGATCTGAAACAGAATTCTGATACTGATGTACTTAACGTTTTATATTCTACATAAAAGTACAGTTGCATCTACCATTATGTATTTCCAGAATTTTCTACCAATTTTCTAGTATTTTATGTGGGACATGCAAAACAATGTGCATGATTTATAATATAAAATGAGAGATAAAACAAATATATCAGATGTTTTTAGAAAAAGTTGGCTTTAAATTTTGAGTGAAGTGTATTGCCATTTTAATTCTAATATTTAACTGACTCTATTTATTCTCAATCTAGTCTTTTTTTAAAAAAAAATCTGCCAGATTTTTTCAACCCAATTCTCAGCTAATCATATTTCAGAATTTCAGTAGTATGCCAACTTTGGACATATAAAACCATGTTCATTTAGCATAATTAATCGTATGTAAGTACTACAGTATCCTTAAAGAATTGGATTAGAAGATTAAAATATAGTGGAATATAATTATTATGATTTAGAACCTCCTGATGGCTTCACAGAATATCATTGTAATGTACTCACATAATCCCAATGCCAATTTATTAAAACCTACAAATAACTTCAAAACTCCTCAAGAGGCTCAGTGATCTTTGCTTAATACATAAATAAATAAAAAGGAGCTTTGAGGAAAAGTAGGAAACATTTTCATAGTAAATGCACATCAACAGTGAAAGAACTGCTATTTGATACTCATAAACAATAATGCTGACATCAAATTAATTAGGTTAGTGAGGAAAAAATGGCAACTGAGAAATAACCTTGCTTATTCACCTATGGAATACAATGGAGAAAAAAAAGTCCAAGATCATTTATGTATTTATAAATTCTTCAGTTTGATGATAATGGTTTAATAGTTTAGTTTGTAGCACTATGACAAATTTCACTTTAAAAAATATTATGAAAGAAGAAACACAAATAAAATGGCCAGCATAATTCACCCTCTGCTATTCTTCTCTATTGTAAAATATTATTTTATATGGATGGTACATAAAAATAAATACGCATACATATTTTGTAGTTACATAAGGTAAAAGGTAAAGATGAAGTCATGTCTTACTTTAGGGCGAGGTGATCCTCTCTGTTTCTTAGCCAAGGGAGTTAGCACTGTCCAAAGACATCTCTATAGTTATGTGGCCAGCATGACTATGTATAAAAGCACATGGAAAGCTGGTACCTTCTCACCGAAATGGCACCTATTTATCTACTTGCATTTGCATGCTTTTGAACTATTAGATGGGAAGGAATAGAGTAAGTAATGGGAGCTCATGCCATTGCACAGTGCTCTGGTCTGGAACCCAGGCTATCAGCTTTCCAGTTGACAAGCTCAGCATCTTTAACCACTGAGCCTTCGCCCCTCCATATGATGCAATTCTTTTTAAACTATTATCACAGCGATGTTCAGAAAACTAAAGTGATTAAAAAGCCTTACAAGGAAACACATAATTAATGCAAGAAAAGGCAAGACAAATAAAGTTTTTTAAAACTAGCTCCACCCCCCCTTGACCTTGAGTAAAATAGTTAATGGACTCCTTGTAGGACATTTGTTTTGTTGGTGTTAATGATTTTCCTCCAGATGTTTTCCATATAGTAGTCCTCAACTTGCAATCATTCATTTGGTGATCATTTGAAGTTACAATGGCACTGAAAAAAGTGACTTAGAATTGGTCATCATATTTTATGACCATTTGCAGCACATCCAGTTAGGTGATCTAATGTTGGATGCTTGGCAACAAAAAGTATTTATGATGGTGGCAGCATCTATTGGAATGATTGCCACTTGCAATCATTGCCAGCCAGCTTCTCATAATCAAATTCAATACTTTGGAAGCTGAACTTGCTTAATAACCACATGATTCATTTAACAACTGCAGTGATTTGCTTAACAATCATAGCAAATAAAGGTAATAAAATCAGGAGCAGCTTACTTGTTTTTAGCAATGGAAATTCTGGTCTCAATTCTGGTCGTCAGTTGAACACTGGCTGCAGTTTATATTGTGTTCTAAATTGTTTCATGTTACATGCTACCCAGACTTAATACATAAATAACAAGATGGTTAATCAAATTCATAAAGAAAAATCCTGCCAACGAATAAAGAAAACAGCTATATTCTGGATTATTCTATGAGTTATAAATTGCTTTTAAGTCTATTAGAATGAGTGAGCTTTTCAGCACTATATTCCTTCCTAACCAAAAAACAGACTCCATCTGATCTAGCAATCTTTTTATGTTCTTTTTCTTATACCTTTGTATTAAATTTTTGTAACTACATATTAAACAGATCCAAAAGAAAGCATTTGTTATTGACATTCTATTTATTTTTAAATGTTTTAAAAACCTTTTTTTATTCATCAATGTATCATCTTTCAGTTCAACTTTATTTTATTTCTCCAAGATGCACTGTACAGCCTATTATATATATTTTTTCTGTTAAAATTCCATTATGTTTGCAATTTTGTTAACTTGTACGATACTTGGGGCAAGACATTTGGGGCAATTACATACAGCCACTACTCACCTGTACTTTCTACAGTTACTGAATTGGGAGGGAGAGAACCACTCTCTCCACTATCCAGTCTTTCATAAATAAATAAATAAAAAAGCATTCCAATTCTCTCAGTCTGAGGCAAACCGCTTAATTCAGTTATGCAACCCTCTGGAGTCTATACATGTTATACCACCTGACTTCATCTATTGCATAAGCTCAGCCATCAGAGAAAATTGTTCCACAGCCTTCCTCCAACCTGTTACATTACAAATGCCACAGTTCATAGTCCATGTGAGAGTGAGATCTCAATGATGATTGGATTCCTATCACATGGGCATACACACATAAGAAAAAACTGCAAATAACTGAAAATGCTTTCTGTCCTAGGAGATGTAAGCAAAATTGTGATATTCCAAAACTACTGAAAATGCTTTCAAGTACAGTCATGGCCGTAAATGTTGGCACCCCTGAAATTTTTCCAGAAAATGAAGTATTTCTCACAGAAAAGTATTGCAGTAACACATGTTTTGCTATACACGTTTATTCCCTTTGTGTGTATTGGAACAAAACCAAAAAAGGGAGGAAAAAAAGCAAATTGGACATAATGTCACACAAAACTCCAAAAAATGGGCTGGACAAAATCATTGGCACCCTTTATTTAATATTTGGTTGCACACCCTTTGGAATAAATAACTGAAATCAGTCGCTTCCGATAACCATCAATAACTTCTTACACCTCTCACCCGGAATTTTGGACCACTCTTCCTTTGCAAACTGCTCCAGGTCTCTCTTATTGGAAGAGCGCCTCTTCCCAACAGCAATTTTAAGATCTCTCCACAGGTGTTCAATGGGATTGAGATCTGGACTCATTGCTGGCCACTTCAGAACTCTCCAGCGCTTTGTTGCCCTCCATTTCTGGGTGCTTTTTGACGTATGTTTGGGGTCATTGTCCTGCTGGAAGACCCAAGATCTCCGACGCAAACCCAGCTTTCTGACACTGGGCTCTACAGTGCGACCCAAAATCCGTTGGTAATCCTCAGATTTCATGATGCCTTGCACACATTCAAGGCACCCAGTGCCAAAGGCAGCAACACAACCCCAAAACATCAGTGAACCTCAACCATATTTCACTGTAGATACTGTGTTCTTTTCTTTGTAGGCCTCATTCCGTTTGCGGTAAACAGTAGAATGATGTGCTTTACCAAAAAGCTCTATCTTGGTCTCATCTGTCCACAAGACGTTTGCCCAGATGGATTTTGGCTTAGTCAAGTACATGTTGGCAAACTGTAGTCTTGCTTTTTTATGTCTCTGTGTCAGCAGTGGGGTCCTCCTGGGTCTCCTGCCATAGCGTTTCATTTCATTTAAATGTCGACAGATAGTTTGCGCTGACACTGATGCTCCCTGAGCCTGCAGGACAGCTTGAATTGCTTTGGAACTTGTTTGGGGCTGCTTATCCACCATCCGGACTATCCTGCGTTGGCACCTTTCATCAATTTTTCTCTTCCGTCCACGCCCAGGGAGATTAGCTACAGTGCCATGGGTTGCAAACTTCTTGATAAGGTTGCGCACTGTGGACAAAGGCAAATCTAGATCTCTGGAGATGGACTTGTAACCTTGAGATTGGTGATATTTTTCCACAATTTTGGTTCTCAAGTCCTCTGACAGTTCTCTTCTCCTCTGTTGTCCATGCTTAGTGTGGCACACACAGACACACAATGCAAAGACTAAGTGAACTTCTCTCCTTTTTATCTGGTTTCAGGTGTGTGTTTTATATTGCCCACACCTGTTACTTGCCCCAGGTGAGTTTAAAGGAGCATCACATGCTTGAAACAATCTTATTTATCCATAATTTTGAAAGGGTGCCAATGATTTTGTCCAGCCCATTTTTGGAGTTTTGTGTGACATTATGTCCAATTTGCTTTTTTTCCTCTCTTTTTTGGTTTTGTTCCAATACACACAAAGAGAATAAACGTGTATAGCAAAACATGTGTTACTGCAATACTTTTCTGTGAGAAATACTTCATTTTCTGGAAAAATTTCAGGGGTGCCAACATTTACGGCCATGACTGTAAGTCTAATTCTAGAGCGGATGGCTATAAATACACAAAAATGGTAAACACATTTACATGAGAGTAAATATGAGTAGAAACCATAAACACAGGGAGTAAGTTTCAAAACATATCTTTAGCATCAACTTCACTCCAACTTCACTTCACTCCAAGAAAAAGTAACTGTACCTGTCTGTTCAAACAGATAGTATAGTAAGAGTAAACTCAATGACATATTGCTTCCTTTGGGCCTTCTGAAAGGCTATGCGGACCTGTGTGGCTGATTCTTCCCCAAGCATTAGACTAAAGAAAGGGTTGAGCTGGGAGGATGTTCGGTCTGGCATCTAGGGGGAAAGGGTACTTTTGTTTTTAACCATGTTTTATAGATTGTTGTGAGCTTTCTGGAGTCATTATGACACAGGAGGCCCATACAAGTCCTGTAAGTTAGTAAACGAATGAATGAAGATAAATTGAGAAATAATTGCATTAGTTTTTCAAGAAAATATAGCGACATCATATAGTTAGTGACAGTATCATCAAGCTTCTCATGTTCTTTCTCCTTTAAATTTCTGATAACTCTTCTTGTTTTTCAAATAAAAACAGTTCACTTCATCTCCCATCTTTTTTTTTCCAGAACTAGGAAAATATTTAGCAGTTTTTAATCTACATTTGTTTTCTCTGAAAACCAGGCCACTGAACTTAACATGAGGGTCTCTCACAGAGAAGGGGTGGTCAATCTATTATCCAAAGGACCTAAGGGCAAGACAAAGAATGGAAGATCAACAAACAGAGAAGCAACCTAGAAATAAGGAGAAATTTCCTGACAGAACAATTAATCAGTGGAACAGCCTGCCTCCAGAAGTTGTGGATGTTCCATCACTGGAAGTTTTAAGAAGAGACTGACCAGCCATTTATCTGGAATGGCATACGATCTCCTGCTTAAGTAGGGGATTGGACAAGAAAACTTCCAAGGTCCCTTCCAATTCTGTAACTTTCTGACTATATATAGAATTGCTAAAACTGTATATACCACTATATATAAAGTTGTAGCAATTTAACATACAATCAAAAAGTTACAGAATTAGGCGATCTTTAAACATCTTGGTTTAAACTTCCTTCACTGTTATCTACAGATTACACGAGTTGTAGACCAATACAATCTAATTAATATATAGCAATAGCACTTAGACTTATATACCATTTCACAGTGCTTTACAGCCCTCTCTAAGAGGTTTACAGAGTCAGCCAACAATCTGGGTCCTCATTTTACCGACTTTGGGAGGATGGAAGGCTGAGTCAACCTTGAGCCTGGTGAGATTCGATCTGCCAAATTGCAGTCAGCAGAAGTAGCCTGCAATACTGCATTCTAACCACTGTGCCACCACAGCTCTTGTCTAATTCTACATATAAATAAGTATATAGGATAACACAGGCCCATTTAGAAGAAGAAAAAAAAAAGAAAAGAATGGCAAATACCCCACTGGATTCCTTGGTGCTCCCTGAGCTTGGTTGTTTGCTCACAGACCTTTCATTACCACACTAGGTCACATCATCAGTGCTGCTCTTGTATTTTACTCCAATCCTAACCTTGCTTATGGTTTTCTAAATTCAATTGAGCACGGTCCTGATGAAATTTACTTAGGGAATGAACGGTTAACCAAACTAAAGCTACCTAGTTCTCATCACTTCGAGAAATGATCAAACTCTGCCCAGCAGTTGAGGATGTCCGGTCAAGCATTCCGCGGTTCCAGGCAGGATTACTCCCAATTCCAAGCGGAAACGGCCGCCTTCGGATCCTTTGTCTGCAGGGCAACTCCTTCTATTCACCAAATACAAATTACCACTTTGCGGCGGAATGAGAAGAGACAACGGGCGTGGCTGAATGAATCGTCTCCGCTGCCTCCACCCCCACGTGTCTCTTGCCCGCCGCGCCTGAATGTAGGTCACCAAAACAACGGTTTCCAGCTGCTTACACGTGTCAGTCCACACGGTCTCCCAGCAAGACCGCCCAACGCAATTATGCAACCTGGGCATCTCAGCAAGCCAGAGCCAATGAGGGCGCGCCTGGCACTGAACGTAAACAAAAGGGCGCACATGGCTCAGCCGGCCAGTCCATGTGAGGCGATGGAAAGGAAACAACCAGTAGCAACCAGGGGCAGCAACTATGGGGAAGAGGGAACGGCGGCAAGCCGAAGCCTGTCCGCAAGACCAAATGCTCAGATTGATCTCTCTAAGGTATAATAGCCTTCCGATCCTAAGGAAAGAGTTGGATTCGGATCATTCAAGCTCCAAGAAAGGGTTTTTTCTCGCCAAACCCCTTTCCCATGACGCGTTACTTGTTTTTTTTATGAATGGACTGATAGCCGTTTCTTCTCCCACTCCTTCTCTCCCGACCCTACTAGTTTGTAACCGCTCATTCCTAAGAAGTGGCTCTTCCCTTCAGTCAGCACAAACCTCACCAGCCGCTTTCGAACAATCCCCACTCCAGAGGTGTAGAAGCCACAGGTCTTACTGTGTCCCTTTACTTTTGGAACAGAAACGAGAATAAACTAATAAGGATCAAGACACTGGCGGAAACGACCATCCTTAGTAAAAGCAGCTGCTTAAAGTACAAAACTCCACCTACCCAAACTCTCTTGCTCTAATTATCCCCTTAGGCAAACTCTATGCCTCCCCCACTTTTTGAGCACTTACAGTTACGGAGTTCTGTCCCAATAAAGAATCCACTTACCGACACTCAACTCCATGCCTGCCTTTCTTCTCTAACAAGAACCTGCTGCCGAGGACCGTGATTTTTTCAAAGGGAAAGGAACCGGGACGGACTGTGGCTGGCCCTTGAGGAAGCCGCCTGAGCCACCGGTTTAAGAAGCCCACCCCGGTGCGTTTCTGGTGACAGCTTCGAAGGGGCTGCCGGGGCGCGCGGTGCAGGAGGTTGCCTCTTTCTGGGTCCCTTTCCTGTGCTTTCCACCTGCGTGCGGATGCAAAAGGAACCACTGCGGCAGCTGTGCTCATGGGAGATGCACCCGCCTGCCCTGTGCGTGGAGCTGCCTCGTGCGTTGTTAGGCGGGAGGAGATGAAAGAGCGGCCGCAGAAGCCGCCGCCGAGCCTTCCTTTGGAAGTTTCTCACTGAGTTGGCTCTCTGTCAGGGCTGCTGCGGCTGTTTCCTCCTCCCCCTGACAACAGGGCAAGAAGAGTCAGCGGGAGTACGGCGCTGACCCACGTGCTTCTGCACTGCCATCCTTCCTTCCCTTCCCCTACCTGCGCCTCATTCGCTCTTGGTTGCCGCTTGGCCGTCTTTCACCTAGTGACACAGTTCCTTCTTTCTCGAGAGGCCGAGGGGAGGTTAGAAAGAACAAGCCGTTCTCACGTGTAACCCCGCGTGGTGAGGCAGATCTCTGGATCTTGAACTGCACCAAAAGAACAGAGATGCAGGCTTGCTCGTTTCTTTCCCTCTTCCAACCGCCTTGCGCCAGAAGATGGTTGACTGAGACATTTCCTTGAATTCTGGACTTTTTTCCTGGGTCAGAAAGGAAATTTTAGTGCTTTCAGCCCCTTGAGTAAATATATTATGGCAAATATCTATGGCGATTCTCAGTCGTGGTTGCTCCAAAGGTACTTTTCCAAAAGGCAACTGGGCTTTCTTGGGTTTTTTTTCCCTTGAAAACCTTTTCACTTTTCGTTCAAGAAGCTTCTTCAGTTCTCTTCTTCAAAACTGAAAGAAACCAAGGAAGTCCAGTTGCCTTTTGGAAAACCACCTTTGGGACTAGCCTTATGGTAATTATCACCTGATTTGGGACAAAGCTTTCTGTCCTTAACTACTTTATCTGTCTACAGTTATCTTTCTCATAAAGTTTTCACCCATGAGTAAATAGCAAATAGCAAAAGGCAAGAATAACCACCTGTCTTGACTTCTATCTTTAGCATAAATATATACTCTTTATTATAAAACCTAATACATGTGTTATCATACAGGCTTTCACCGATAAGGTCTGGATCCAAATAAGTTAGATCAGGTTAGAAAGAAATATCATCTGCAGAAGCATTTAGCTTTATATGGTTAAGTCACATTTAGATGAAAAAAGTTCCTACTTATAAATAATAGATAACATACAGCATTAAGCTTAAAACAGAAACCTTTATTGTATAACAAATAGTCTGCAAATATTTTGCAATTGTTTATTAATGCTACATTAGCTTTGAATGGAAAATTTACTTTGTTTAACATTAAATTTTAGGAATGATAACTAATATACAAACTTCTTATCTTTCAAGGTTTAAAGTTTAACACGCGAGAGGTCACTGCTCCCCAGATGGACAGGTGTGAGTCCCTATTCATGAGATGGGGTCCTCGAGGGCAGTGGGGCCTGTTGATTAGGTACCTATCTCCCAGCTGCATATCAACGGACCTGCCCAGGCTGCTGGACGCCCTATCAGGGTTGGTGGTTGAGTTTCCCAGACTTATTGTTCTGGGGGACTTTAACCTGCCTTCCCTGGGTGGAGCGTCGGGGGTGGTCCAGGAGTTCATGGCTTCCATGGCAGCCATGGACCTGACTCAGGTAATTCAGGGCCCGACTCATGTGGGGGGACACACGCCTGATCTCATTTTTATCTCGGAGCAGTGGCCTAGTGAGTTCGGTGGGAGTATACCAATTATGTACCCCCTGTCATGGACTGATCATTATCTCCTTCGGCTGGACTTCCATTTTGCCGCCCCCCACCGCTGGGATGCGGAACCGACCACCTGGTTCTGCCCCAGGCGCCTGATGGACCCTGAGCATTTCCAGACGGAGCTTGGGACTATTCCTGTCTCTCTTTCCCATGCTCCGGTCAAGAGTCTGGTGGATGCTTGGGAAAAGGCAGCCGCCGGGGCTCTCGACCGGGTCATGCCTTTGCGGCCTCTGACCCAACGCAGATCCCGGTTGGCCCCTTGATTTACTGAGATGAAGCAGCAGAGGAGAGGCCTAGAAAGCTGTTGGAGATCCAGCCGTTCCGAGTCTGACCGAGTGCAGTTAAGATCCTTTACGTGATCTTATCTAGTGGAGATGGAGGCCGCGAAGCGTCTTTACTTCTCTGCCCTCACTGCATCCGCAGATAATCGCCCAGCTGCCCTGTTTAGGGTGTCCCGCCCCCTTTTGAATCAGGGAGCGGGGGATGACCATATGCGGGGGAGGGCTGAAGAGTATAGCCAACATCTGCTGGACAAGATCACTCAGATTCGGGACGGACTGGACTCTGACTCGGCAGGGTCGGTTGAGGGGGTGACGACGGGTCTGGTTATCTGGGACGAGTTCGATCCTGTTACTCCCGAGGAAGTGGACAGGATCATGGGGAAGCTGAGTACCACCATGTGTTTGTTGGACCCATGTCCCTCCTGGCTTGTTTATTCGACTCGGGAGGTTACACATGACTGGATCCAGGCAGTGATTACTGCTTTCTTGGATGAGGTGCTTCCCTGCCGCCTTGAAGGAGGCGGTGGTGAGCCCCCTCCTCAAGAAACCTGCCTTGGATCCAGCTATCTTGAACAACTTTCATCCTGTCTCCAGAGCATGGTGGCACATCAGCTCCCATTGGCCCTGGAGGGAGCAGTATACCTGGACCCGTATCAGTTGGGTTTCAGGCCCGGGTACAGCACAGAGACGGCATTAGTTACGCTGGTTGATGATCTTTGGAGGGCTCGGGACAGGGGACATTCCTCTGTCCTGGTCCTGTTAGATCTCTCAATGGCTTTTGATACCATCAACCATGGTATCCTACTGCGATGCCTCGAGGGATTAGGGGTGGGAGGCACTGTTTTATGGTGGTTCTCATCCTACCTCACGGGTCGTTCGCAAGCAGTGTTGGAGGGACAGAGGTCGGCCCTGAGGCCCCTTATGTGTGGGGTGCCCCAGGGGTCGGTCCTCTCCCCTTTTGTTCAACATCTATATGAAGCCGCTGGGGGAGATCATCCGTGGTTTTGGGGTGGGGTATCATCAGTATGCTGATGATACCCAACTTTTTCTATCCACCCTGAATCAGCCCAGTGATGCCCTCAATGTGATGTCCCGGTGCCTGGAAGCGGTGCGGCTCTGGATGGGGAGGAACAGGCTTTGGCTCAACCCTGCCAAGACGGAATGGCTATGGGTACCGGGATCTCGGTTCCAAGGGGATGCTCCACTGCTGGTTATAGGGGGTGAGGTTTGCCCCCTGTTGACAGGGTGTGCAACTTAAGCATCTTCCTGGATTCATGGTTGTCTCTGGAAAATCATGTTATGACTGTGACCAGGGGGGCATTTGCCCAGATTCGTCTGGTGCACCAGTTGCACTCCTACCTGGACCGAGATGCCCTATGCACGGTCACTCATGCGCTGGTCACCTCTTGGATTGACTACTGCAACTCTCTCTACATCGGGCTGCCCCTGAAGACCACTCGGAGGCTTCAGCTGATGCAGAATGTGACCGCACAGGTAGTGATGGGAGTGTCCTGACGCTCTCATGTTACACCCCTTCTGCGCGACCTGCATTGGTTACTGGTTGCCCTCCATGTGAGATTAAAGGTGCTGGTGATTACCTATAAAGCCCTACATGGCTTAGGACTGGGGTATTTGATGGACATTCTGCGGCCAGCAACAGCTCCCCATTGCTCGGTGCGTTCCCATAGAGAGGGCCTACTCAGGGTGCTGTCGGTCAGACAGTGTCGGCTGGCGACCCCTAGGGAGCGGGCCTTCTCTGTGGGCACACCTACCCTCTGGAATCAGCTCCGGATGGCCCCCGACCTTCGCTCTTTCCGCCGCGAACTAAAAACGTGGCTATTTCGCCTGGCCGGCTTGGACTGATGGGGTTTTTTTAAATGGATTTTAATTGATTTTAGGGATTTTATGTGTAATTTTAACCCGGAGTTTTTGTTTTATTTTTCTGTTTTATTGTTGTGAGCCACCCTGAGTCCTCTCGGAGAAAGGGCGGCATATAAGTCTAAATAAATAAATAAATAAATAAATAAATGAGGCGGATTTCACATATTTCCTGTTTTTGCTACTACTGAAGAGTATAAGAATGTGTGTTTTAAAGACGGAAGTTGTTCAGATGTTAGATTATTTTTTTATCTGTCTGAATCTTTGGCCAAAATAAAGTTTCTCTTGATTTTGAAGTCCAATTCCTTTATTTTTTTGCAAAAATATGATGTCACTGAACCGGTTCTCTTTGTTCAGGAGCTGGGCTCTCCCGCCCCCCCCCCCACGTTATTCTTACCTTTTATTTGGCCCTGCCCCCAATCTATTCGCTGCCTCCCGAGTCCCAGCTGATTGGCTAGAAGGAAAAAAACTGTTTAAACTCTTGCCAAAGGGCTTCAAAGGGCCGCCCTACAGCTGATCAGTGTTAAAAGGCAGTGTGGTGGTAGACCAGTGCGCTCAAAAAACAAATGGGTAGACCGGTGCCTCCAAAAACAAATGAGTAGAGCGGTGCCTCCAAAAACAAATGGGTAGACCGGTACAGCTATGCAAGCAGTTAAAGCCTGGTAGACCAGTACCTCTGCTAAATCCTAAAGAATTGTAACATGACCATCAAACCACGCCCACAAAATAAGCCATGCCCACATAACTGGTAGTAAAAAAAATTAGAACCCACCCCTAATCTTGGGTTAGGGCAGGGGTGTCAAATTCAATTTCATTAAGGGCTGCATCAGGGCTGTGGTTGACCTGGTGGGGAGGCTGAATGTGGCTGACGGTGGGTGTGGCCAGCTTGATGGCCACACCCAGCCAGTGCTGCTGGCATGTTTCCTCTTCATACTGGGTAGACCAGGCGGAAGCCACTCTGGCCCGATGTTTCCTCTTCGCATTGGGTAGACTTGGCTGAAGCCACGCAGGCCTGATGTTTCCTCTTTGCATTGGGTAAACTATGTCGAAGCACCACTGGCTGGCCTCTTACATTTTCCAGGACGGGCCCACAGGCCAGATCCAACCACATCATGGGCCGGATCTGGCCCATGGGCCTTGTGACTTCTGGTGGGCCCAGAAGGGCCGAAAATCAGCTGGCTGGTGCATGCATGTGTGCCAGAACTGAGCTCGCGTGCCCACCAATATGGCTCCACATGCCACCTGTGGCACCCGTGCCATAGGTTCACCATCACAGCCCTATTGGGTATGAAAAAGTGTATAATGCAATAGAATTAGAAAAAGTGTAAACAAGGCCAAGTGAACTGAAACTCCTTATAAGGACTAGTGTAGGCCGAAATAGGGAAAAGACAACTAAACAGAACATAATTGAGGTGAATAAAGTCAC